CATAAAAACATCATAGTGAGGCATAAAAACTTAAAAAAATTTCATACTATAGTAAGGCATAAAAAATTGGAAAAAACGTCATAGTAAAAATGTTAACTTGAACGTGTACTTTTGATTTTGTGATTTATTGTGTGGCACATTCTTCAGGATGTTAATGTCTTCCTTGTACAACGCCGTGGGAGCAGAAGGTGCAGAGACAACCTTGCAATGCTGAACAAGAAGATTCTGCACAGGGTCAACCTTGCATAGCGACGAGAGGATGCTGCACAGAGAAGACCTTGCATAGCTGAACTGTTTAAAAACTTCAGAATTGTTATATCTGTAACCCTTACCACCTTTGCTTGCTGTCTGGTTGGAGAGGTGCCCTCCCTGTTTCTCACAGGGGGGGTAGCCAACTCCTTATAAACCTCATGTGACTGTTTGGATCTTGTCTTTCTGTCCTGCTCAGTGTCTTACTGCTCAGAAATCTGCTGGGTGTTGACCCCTTTGCAATAGCTTTTAATAAAACCCACAGAAGACAACTTGGTCTCAACCAACTTTATTGAATTTACACCACAAGAACATCATACTAAGGCATAAAAATTACATAGTATAGTAAAACATAAACAGTGATGAAAAAGTCATATTATAGTAAGGCATTAAAACATCATAGTATATTTAGGCATAAAAACATCATACTATTGTAAGGCATGAAAAGTCGTAAAAACATCATAGTATAGTGAGGCGTAAAAAGTCATAAAAACGTCATAGTATCGTAATACATAAAAACATCATAGTATAGTGAGGCGTAAAAAGTCATAAAAACGTCATAGTATCGTAATACATAAAAACATCATAGTATAGTGAGGCGTAAAAAGTCATAAAAACGTCATAGTATCGTAATACATAAAAACATCATAGTATAGTGAGGCGTAAAAAGTCATAAAAACGTCATAGTATCGTAATACATAAAAACATCATAGTATAGTGAGGCGTAAAAAGTCATAAAAACGTCATAGTATCGTAATACATAAAAACATCATAGTATAGTGAGGCGTAAAAAGTCATAAAAACGTCATAGTATCGTAATACATAAAAACATCATAGTATAGTGAGGCGTAAAAAGTCATAAAAACGTCATAGTATCGTAATACATAAAAACATCATAGTATAGTGAGGCGTAAAAAGTCATAAAAACGTCATAGTATCGTAATACATAAAAACATCATAGTATAGTGAGGCGTAAAAAGTCATAAAAACGTCATAGTATCGTAATACATAAAAACATCATAGTATAGTGAGGCGTAAAAAGTCATAAAAACGTCATAGTATCGTAATACATAAAAACATCATAGTATAGTGAGGCGTAAAAAGTCATAAAAACGTCATAGTATCGTAATACATAAAAACATCATAGTATAGTGAGGCGTAAAAAGTCATAAAAACGTCATAGTATCGTAATACATAAAAACATCATAGTATAGTGAGGCGTAAAAAGTCATAAAAACGTCATAGTATCGTAATACATAAAAACATCATAGTATAGTGAGGCGTAAAAAGTCATAAAAACGTCATAGTATCGTAATACATAAAAACATCATAGTATAGTGAGGCGTAAAAAGTCATAAAAACGTCATAGTATCGTAATACATAAAAACATCATAGTATAGTGAGGCGTAAAAAGTCATAAAAACGTCATAGTATCGTAATACATAAAAACATCATAGTATAGTGAGGCGTAAAAAGTCATAAAAACGTCATAGTATCGTAATACATAAAAACATCATAGTATAGTGAGGCGTAAAAAGTCATAAAAACGTCATAGTATCGTAATACATAAAAACATCATAGTATAGTGAGGCGTAAAAAGTCATAAAAACGTCATAGTATCGTAATACATAAAAACATCATAGTATAGTGAGGCGTAAAAAGTCATAAAAACGTCATAGTATCGTAATACATAAAAACATCATAGTATAGTGAGGCGTAAAAAGTCATAAAAACGTCATAGTATCGTAATACATAAAAACATCATAGTATAGTGAGGCGTAAAAAGTCATAAAAACGTCATAGTATCGTAATACATAAAAACATCATAGTATAGTGAGGCGTAAAAAGTCATAAAAACGTCATAGTATCGTAATACATAAAAACATCATAGTATAGTGAGGCGTAAAAAGTCATAAAAACGTCATAGTATCGTAATACATAAAAACATCATAGTATAGTGAGGCGTAAAAAGTCATAAAAACGTCATAGTATCGTAATACATAAAAACATCATAGTATAGTGAGGCGTAAAAAGTCATAAAAACGTCATAGTATCGTAATACATAAAAACATCATAGTATAGTGAGGCGTAAAAAGTCATAAAAACGTCATAGTATCGTAATACATAAAAACATCATAGTATAGTGAGGCGTAAAAAGTCATAAAAACGTCATAGTATCGTAATACATAAAAACATCATAGTATAGTGAGGCGTAAAAAGTCATAAAAACGTCATAGTATCGTAATACATAAAAACATCATAGTATAGTGAGGCGTAAAAAGTCATAAAAACGTCATAGTATCGTAATACATAAAAACATCATAGTATAGTGAGGCGTAAAAAGTCATAAAAACGTCATAGTATCGTAATACATAAAAACATCATAGTATAGTGAGGCGTAAAAAGTCATAAAAACGTCATAGTATCGTAATACATAAAAACATCATAGTATAGTGAGGCGTAAAAAGTCATAAAAACGTCATAGTATCGTAATACATAAAAACATCATAGTATAGTGAGGCGTAAAAAGTCATAAAAACGTCATAGTATCGTAATACATAAAAACATCATAGTATAGTGAGGCGTAAAAAGTCATAAAAACGTCATAGTATCGTAATACATAAAAACATCATAGTATAGTGAGGCGTAAAAAGTCATAAAAACGTCATAGTATCGTAATACATAAAAACATCATAGTATAGTGAGGCGTAAAAAGTCATAAAAACGTCATAGTATCGTAATACATAAAAACATCATAGTATAGTGAGGCGTAAAAAGTCATAAAAACGTCATAGTATCGTAATACATAAAAACATCATAGTATAGTGAGGCGTAAAAAGTCATAAAAACGTCATAGTATCGTAATACATAAAAACATCATAGTATAGTGAGGCGTAAAAAGTCATAAAAACGTCATAGTATCGTAATACATAAAAACATCATAGTATAGTGAGGCGTAAAAAGTCATAAAAACGTCATAGTATCGTAATACATAAAAACATCATAGTATAGTGAGGCGTAAAAAGTCATAAAAACGTCATAGTATAGTATGGCATAAAAAGTCATAAAAACATCAAAGTATAGTAAGGCAAAAAACTAAGAAAAAACGTTATAGTATAGTAAAAAGTCATAAATACATAGTATAGTATGCCATAAAAAGTAATAGTATAGTAAGGCATAAAAAGTCAAAAAAACATTATAGTATAGTGAGGCATAAAAAGTCATAGTATAGTAA